CGGCCCGCTGGGCCCCGCCCCGACTTTCGGCCCGAGGGAAGCGGCGCCCGGCGCCTGGAGGCCTCGGGCGGTGCTGGAGACGCTGCGGCTGAGCCGCCAGGAGATCTCGGCGGCAGCGGAGGTGGTGAACCGGGTTGTGGACCACCTGGTGCAGAGACTGCAGCGCTGCGAGTCCGAGTTCAGGGGCGTCACGCTGCTGCGCACCGGCAGCTACTACGAGCGCGTGAAGGTGAGCCGCCCGCCCTCCCTCCGCGCCCGCTCCCAGCCCTCCCCAGCCCCCACGCTGCCGCGCCTCCCCGCTGAGGAACTCAGACTCGTGTTCTTTCGCGGCCTGTGACGAACTTCTGATTAAAACGACGAACACTTGTTGGTTCGTTTATTCATCTGCACATCCAGCGAACTTAGAGCTGTCCAGTATTGATTGCTAGCTACGGTCAAGACACTGCTACTGAGGGAATTCAAATGTATAGATTCATTCATGCAAGCAAGCAGACCTGTGTCGAGACCTGTAACTGTGCTGTACTTGGTGGTCTGTGGTCGGATTCTGACTTGGATAAACAGGACTAGTCTGCGAAAGATTCCAGAGAATCAATATATCTATGAAATGTTCCTGTAAGGAGGACATCTGTGCTCCATAGGAGAAATATCTTCAGTTTGTCCTCGCAGCCCCCGCGGGCTCCTTCTCTCCTTAATTTCTTATACAGAAGTCATTGGGAGCTCACAGTGGGTGATGTTAAAAAAAATTTAGGAGAAAATCTACAGATACTGAAAAGCAAACTTCCCGAATACACGTTGGATGGAATTGTTTTTAAATGTGTCTTGCACAGCTCCATTTGCTTGAGTGTGGTTGAGTCATTCAAGTCCTCATTCCAACATAGATTGAAGGTTTAGGAGCAGATCCCTTGCTGAAGTCTGTTCCCCAACCGGTGGCAGCTTTCTTTAGTGATTTTTGGCCTAGTCAGTTTTCTGAGTGCGGGGCTGTGCACCTCCATTAGCTCTGTGTAAGATCTTGGGTGTAGTGTGAACGGGAATAGAGACTGACAGCATATCTTTATTAGATAATCATAATTTATTTTAGAATTATATATTGACTGTATTCGATTAGCTACTGTCCTCCAGAAGGTAGATGATTTTAAAATTTGGGATTTAGGGTTTTAGGATTATAAACTCTTAAGAGAGCAGGCCAAATATTATGCATCTGTGTATCTCTCAGCCTTAACACATAGCAAGCATTCAAGTGAATGAATGAATGAATGTGCTCAAGAAGAAAGGATGGGTGCTCTCTCTTAAGACAAACCCTGTCTTCTCAGGGTAGCAAATTCAGATTTCATTCCAATAGTAAGTGTTTAACTTAGTTACCTTCAGTGGAGATAGTTACCTTCAGTGGAGATTAAAGCTTTCACATATTTTTGTTTTGGCTTCCCACCTAGATTGTAAGCTCCATTCTCATGCAATGTTATACACAACTTTGTGCCCTATACAACCACTCATTTCATTGGTGTACACCCAGTGATATTTGTTTATTGTCAAAAAGATAGTGTATGTATCAGTCTTTGGATCTGTAACTCTTTAGCACTGAAGACCACTCATATAATTCCATCTAAAGTTCCTTGAAAGTCAGGTGAGCAAAACTTTCATCACACTATCTGTCTTGAGCATGATTCTTATTACATAAATATCAATCAGTTCAATTACATGGAGGGTCCAAAGGAAAAAGAAAGTTATTAGAACTAGAGAACAATAAGACATTTAGAGAACAGTCTCCTCAGAACCACTCTCATGCTGATGGAAAGAAATTCAATGAAATTTGTTTTATCTAAAATGTATTTATTGCTTTTTAACTGATTATAAAATACATATGGGTTCATTGTAGGTTTGACCCACTGCCTGCCCTCCAGCAGGCACCCACAGCACAATGGCACCCCTCCTCCTTACTTCTTTCTTCAGCCTCTCCCATATTTGCCCCTTCCATGTTGATGTCCCTGGAAAACTCAGAAAAGCATATAGAAGAACCATATTGTTTCTGTTTATTTTAGTCACTGTTATCATTTTGGTGTATTTTCTTGTTATGCATACACTTGGATTTCACAATTGGATTCCAGACTCTTTATAATTGGTAAAAGGATAGACAAAACATGCTTCTCAGTAATTTATTTACTTGTTTCTATATTGACACATTTCCATTCATATATTTTATTGTAATATTATCAAGTTCTAGGTGAAAATCTGGAAAATTTCTTGTAGAAAATTCGTGTAGAATTGCCAGTCCATAATGTTCTTTTTGTCCTAGATGTTAATGCACTTTACTAATTATGAAGTTTGGACTGAGTGAAAAGGTTATATAGACATCAATCTAGTGGTTTTAACCAGTGACACATTAACCAGTAAAGAACAGGAACGAACTACAACATGCAACAACATGAATGAATCTTACAAACATAATGTTGAACAAAAAAAGGACCAGGCAAAGGAATATATACAGCCAATGCAACAAGGTAAGAAAAAGAAATGAAATGCATACGATTGAAAAAGGAATAATAAAACTGTTATTATATACAGATGACTTGATTAGATTTTTGTACAAATTAGTGAATTTAGCAAGGTTCCTGGATACAAAGTCAATAAACAAAAATCAAAATATTTCAGTATACTAGCAAAAAAAAGTGAAAATGAAAATTTAAAAATGCCATTTACAATAGCATCAAAAACAAATATTTAGGAATAAATCTTGTTAAAGATGTTCAAAACTTCAAAACATTACTGAATAAATTTGAAGAGGGACTGAATAAATGGAAAACTATATCATGGTCAGTTTTCCTCAAGTTGATCTATCCTCGTGCAGTCTCAGTCAAAATCCCATCAATTTTTTGTTTAAATTGACAAGCTGATTATAAGATTTATATGGAAATGCAAAGGACTTAAAATAGCCAAAGCAATTCTAAAGGAGAAAATGTTGGAGGATTTACTCTCCCAAAGAGCAAGACTTTCTATAAAGCTGTCCTAATTAAGCAGTTGTTATTGGGGCAATGATAGACAAATAGGCCAAGTGAATAGAAAGTCCAGAAACAGACCTGCATATATAATTCAATACAATACACAATAAGTACAGTAATGTAATTCAGTGGAGGAAAGGATGGTCCTTTCAATAATCAGTGCTGGGTCAATTGTATACCCATATGGGAAAAACATGAACTTTGACACCTACCACATATCATACACAAAAATTAATTTGAGATATATCAGACGTGAAGGTGAAAGATAAAACAATAAAGCTTCTACAAAAAAGCATAGAAGAATATCTTCATAACTTTGAGATGTGCAAATATTTCTTAAATAGGACACTAAAATTGCTAACCATAAAAGATAGATAAATTGGACTTGATTAGAATGAAGAACTGTTGGGCCAGCCCCGTGGCTTAGTGGTTAAGTGCGCGTGCTCCGCTACTGTCGGCCCGGGTTTGGATCCCGGGCGCGCACCGATGCACCGCTTCTCCAGCCGTGCTGAGGCCGCGTCCCACATACAGCAACTAGAAGGATGTGCAACTATGACATACAACTATGTACTGGGGCTTTGGGGGAAAAAAAAAGGAGAAGGACTCGCAATAGATGTTAGCTCAAAGCTGGTCTTCCTCAGCAAAAAGAGGAGGATTAGCATGGATGTTAGCTCAGGGCTGGTCTTCCACACACACACACAAAATAATAAAATAAAATAAAATGGCTTTAAAAAAAAAAAAAGAATGAAGAACTGTTCATCAGAAGACACCATTGAGAGAGTGAAAATGCAAGCCACAGACTCGGAGAAGATACTTTCAATATATACATTTGACAAACGACCAGTACAAATCAATAAGAGAAAGAAAGACAAATTGATTTAAAATTTGGCAAAAGATTTGAACAGACATTTTAATATGCAGTCCAAATAGCAATTAACATATGAAAGGTGCTCAACATCATTAATCATCAGGAAAATGTTAATTAAAATGGTGATGAACTTCTACCACATATCTATCCACTAGAAAGGCTAAAATTTTAAAAGATTTGACAATTCCAAGTGTTGGAGAAGATTGGGAACAACTGAAACTCCCTTAGATTGAAGATAGGAGGATAAATTGGTACTACTTCTTTGGAAAATGGACAGTTTCTTCTAAAGTTGGAGATATGCCTATCCTGTGGTCCAGCAATTCCACTCCTAGGTATATATACAATATAAATGAGGGCTCATGTCCAACAAAAGGCATATAGAAGAATGCTCAGAACAGCTTTGTAATAGTTAAACTCAGAATTGTTTGTAGTAGTTAAAAACTGGAAACGAGCCAACTACTCAACAACAGAATAAGTAGATATATTTTGGTATATTCCATTGACTCAGTGGAATGCTACATAGAATGGAAAGGAACAAACTACCAATACACATAATAGTATGGATGCATCTCACAAACATAATGTTGAATGAAAGGAGTCAGATATAAAAGAGTACCTACTACATGATTCAGTTTATATGATGTTCCCAAACAGGCGCACCTGATCTGTGGTGTTAGAAGTCAGAGTAGTGGCTATTTTTGGTGGAGGGTTTCCAACAGGGAGTGGGAATGAGAGAACTTTCTATGTTACTGGGGGTGAGAGTAGGGCAATTTAGAATGCCCGCAGAGCTCACTGTTCTTAATAGCATTCAGCCGTTTTTCTTGAATAAATCCTCTTTGGATTATTGCAAGCCTTTGATTAATTTACAGAGATCTGAAAAAGTTGGATTTGACTATTTCTGCCCATGTTCTTGTTGCTTGTATGGAAGAGTGGATTTTCAGAGGCTCTTACTTCATTCCTGCCAACGTCACTCCAAGTGTTTGTTTCACTCTTATAATATGTCCTAGTCAGCATGGCCTGCCATATGGTACCATTCTATGGTAAAAAATACCATAGAATGGGTGGCTCAAATGACAGAGATTTATTTTCTCATAATTCTAGAGGCAGGGAGTCCAGGATGCAGCTGCCAGCATGATTAGATTCTGGTGAGGGCTCTCTTCCTGGCTTGTAGACAGCCACCTTCTCCCTGTGTCCTCACTGTGTTCCTCGGTGCATGTGTGCAGAGAGAAAGCAATCTCTCTCTTTCTCTCTCTCCTTGTAAGGCCACCAACTGTATTAGATTAGGACCCTACCCTCATGATCTTGTTTAACCTTGATTACCTCCTAAAAGTCCTTTCCCCAAGTACAGTCACATTGGGGGTTAGGGCT